CATGCATTTATATAATGAATAACTCTTTATGTTTACTAAATATTTAATATAAATACAATATATTTACTTATAACTGGTCTTGAAATCCAGTAACAGCACAGATGAGCAATATTATTCTATTTTTAACTTGTTATTGGAGAAAAGGATAAATAGCCAAATTATAAGTTTACTCATAATTGTCATTGCTACCCATTAAAAACAGTAGTAGTGTGAAGAGTCCCAGATACTTAATTTACTAGACATTCCATCTGTTGCAGCTTTTCCCAAAGCATACGTGGTTTTGGCCATCACTTTTATTTTTAACTTGTTTTCTTTTTATTATGTTACTTGCATTTCATTTTGATATTATTCAGGGAACTGTTAAAGAAGCTGCACTGTGTGGCAGACATCAGCTTCTGCAATATTCAGTTGCTTTAATTAGATTTGCCCCATCCTTCCGTTACTCTGGTTTTATTTAATTAGCTCCTAAAGTAAAAAAAGTCATCTTTTTATTCCCTCAAAAACCCAGCAATCAGAGAGTTTATATTATGAAAAGCACTGAATGACTGTTCCCTAGGTATTTACTATCATCTATGCCTTAACCATAACTAAATGTATAAGCTCTATAGTAAAGTTGATGTCAGATTGAAAATGAAGGACTTTGTCTTTCTGTGCTCTGATTCTTCCCTGTGATTACTACAGAAACGAGTTTTATAGACCTAGCTGTGTTGACAGAAACATGAAAGGGATGGCGTTAACAGAATGGTAGGGAGGAAACCAAGCAAAGAAGTACTGTCAGGTTGGCTGACAGTTATGATTCAATATAGTTTAATTTTCAGTTGTTTTACCTTCAGAAAGGCAGTAGATAAAACTAAAGTAAAACTAAAATCTCGATGAATAAGAAGAGTTTGCCTGTTTCGTCAGCCTTTCCTTCACAGAGCAAGCTTATTAATTATTGAGATACATAAAAGCTATGTGGTAGATTCATGCTGAGGGGTTGTGTCTTCTGTGATGTTTTTATGGAATGAACAAAAAGTTAGGCTTCTGTCTTCTTGCCTATAACTTTATATTCAAAAATACATCTTTATTACTGTTACTCAGTCTCAGTTTTCTGTGTTTATACTGATGCAGTATTTAGTGTTCTCATGAATTACTTGTCCTTAAAGCAGGTATGTGTGCTACCATCCATGTGATGATTTCTCCAGAAAAAAACTTTAAAACAATTAAGAAGTGAGGTGCAATGATTGTCCAGGGCCTCCAGTGCTGTGCAGACCAGTAGGAAGAATGTGGATGTAAAGAATGACTCTGTCAATGTTACATGAAGATTGTGAAACTGAGGCTTACATTGTTTTCAGGACTTCAAAATTTGAAATCTTGAAGCACAGTGTTACAACCAGTCCACTTTATGTGTGGAAGTTTACTTCATCTGTGCTTTTCTAACACTGTTGGCACACAAATGCCTAAACAAGACCCGTGGCTTTTCATGAAGAAAACAGTAGATAAAATAATTTAGAAAACGGTCACTTCACATGCAAACTGCAGTTCATACAACAACTGTATTTGTGTTTGCACCTCTTCTCTATTCATTTGCAAAGTAAAAGAATATTCAGGTGCTACCTTACATTTTATTAATTTTGTTTCCAATCATTGTCTGACCACATTAAGTATTGCTTCAGTCAGGGATGTGTCAGTTTTAGGCACAGCTGAAAGCCTGATTTTACAAGTTTTAATAATAGTAAGAATTATTTGATTGTCCTGGATCAGGACAAAAAACCCATTGTTTTGTTAAAACCTTTTATGAAATGTTATGTGCATCATTATTGATGATGTGACTGTTAAAGAATAAAATAACTTAAGCTGATTTCTGTATTTTAATATTTTTTAATACTTTAGATATTTATATATTTCTCTTCAGTATAATATTATTCATAAGAATTCAAAGCCTGAAATAGAATATAGTTTTAGGTAGCACTAAGTGCTGCAGTAATGTATAATATGGTGTTTGTATGGTTCTTTATTTGCAGTCAAGAGATTTATTACATTTATTTACAAGAAATATTTATTTCCTATACAGGGATTGCTTGGCATTTTGTACAGAACCAGTTTGTGCAAGTTTAGCTAACGTTCTTGGCAGTTGGGACAACCTACCTTCTCCTTTACCATCTGATATTAAAGAATACAAACTTTATGATGTGGAGACCAAATACGGTTTGCTTCAGGTATGACACAGGTTGTCCTTATAATTTTCTTGTTCTTTTAGTATTAATGATTGTTTTATAAAGCTTGTAAGCTGCCAAAGTTCTGTCTGCCTATAGTAAATCAAGTAATTGGGAAGCGAGAAATGATAGTGCCCTGATCACTGTAAGTATAAGAGAGGATGAACACTGGAGGCTCTAAGTTGCTACCATTTTTGCTTATTCTGACATGGTAAATACAAAATCGAGTGAATTTTTATTTTCCATAAAAATGTCTATGCTACAGCTGTCTCTCCCATATGTGAATCTGTTCTTTACCTTCTGTGGAGGAACAGTAGCTCTCAGGTTTTATTTGGTGAATATGCTGATCAACTTTGAAAAGCTTTTATGCTGTGACAGTTAATCATCATTAGTAATCTCATCTGCTGATTACCCATCTGTGTTTAATTTCCTTCATACATAACTTTTAAGGCATAGCCTAAAAGAGTAGTGAAAAATTGTTTCTTAGTTAACTTACCAATTTAACCGGAACAGAATTTTTGTAAATGTCTTACAGGATATTTGGGGAAATATGTAACCTGAAATAATATTCTTCTATTAACAGGTTTCTGAAGGCTTGTCGTTTTTGCATAGCAGTGTGAAAATGGTCCATGGAAATATTACTCCTGAAAATATAATTTTGAATAAGAGTGGAGCTTGGAAAATTATGGGCTTTGATTTTTGTATCCAGTCGACAAATCCATCTGAACAGGAAGTAATAGATCTTTATATTTATCATCATTAAATTCCAAATTCAGATCTTTGTCAGAAACCAGTTTAATGACCTTGCATTTCAGTACAGAATCATTTATTTAATATTCACCTCTGTATTTCATTGGCAAAAGTTTGAACATATGGCACAGGTCTGGACTGAAGTGCTGCCGTTGGTCGTCACAGAAAAAGAGCTTGAGTTGGCTCAGTGGAGTCAGAATAGACTAGTGATGGTTTCAGACAGAGGCTGAAACCCATGCCACTTCCCCTCACCTGCATGTTGGATGACATGCAAAGCTGCCTAATTTAGTCTGTTGCATCCACTCGGTACCTGGTTGCTACCTCCTAAAATGAATTCCTCATACAGCAGTGCTTTGATTTGACATTACACTTCCCAACTCTAATACTCAGACTTAATTGCATCAGCTAATTACTCTAAGCTACAGACACAGATTCTTAACAGTTTTGCCTTACTCTGTTTCTGTTTCATTCATAATTGAATTTGAGTTATTTTCTGCTGTTTGAGTTTCTTATTTAAAATGTTCTTTAAAAAACCCTAATAAATGTACTTTCTTTTACTTGTCTTGTAGCCAAAGTTCCCTTGTAAGGAATGGGATCCAAACTTGCCATCCTTGTGTCTTCCAAATCCTGAATATCTGGCACCAGAATATATTCTCTCCGTGAGCTGTGAGACAGCCAGTGATATGTACTCTCTAGGAGCTGTTATGTATGCAGTGTTTAATAAAGGGAAACCAATTTTTGAGGTCAACAAGCAGGATATTTATAAAAGCTTTAGTAGACAGCTGGATCAGGTATTTGTTCTATTTGTGACTATTATTCACTGATTTTCATATTTGAAAAGTTACTGTTTTAAAAGAGATTTAAATATTTAAAACACAATACCAGTGCTCCAACATAAGCAATCCAATAATGGTATCTTACCTTGCATGCTGTCTTTATAACAAGAAAAAAGAATGCTAGCAAAGTATAAGAAATAAAAATATGTGTAGAGAAGATTAGACGTACCAACTTTATAAACTACAAATTTCATTTTTCACCTGATTTCTCTGTAAACCTATTGAATGCCGGTCTTCTGGAATAAGTACTTTACCTGTTGGGGTGAACAGTATGGAATGCAAGGCAGTGAATGACCTGGGTAGGACCATTGAAGATGGCTGAGTGTAGAGTAATTTGATCACTTGACATTGCAATTGGTATCCAGTTAGCTATCAGAATGTGAAATATTCTTTGTGGACTATGAATATTAACAGAAGACAGTTCCTTGGATCAGCTGATATACTGTAGGTTCATACGCAAGTTTCCTTTGTTGTAACTTCTTTGGGTGCACATTGCCTTAGGTGTGTGTACTGTATTTTAATGTGTGTAGACAACACCTCAGATAATAACAGGTACCTGTTTAAAAATACTGGGTTTGTGTTCTCTGATAACCTGAACGCAATGAGAACTTGGCAGTAGGGGAATGTGACCTGAAGGGGGTAGGCTGTTGGGAGACGGAAAGAAGACCATGAGGGATCAGAAGCAAATGGGTTATAAAGGGGGAGAAGGGAGGGATGTCAAAGGTGTGGGTAGAGAAACCATCAAGAAGGTGAAGTATAGTCCTGTTGTATATTGGAAATAGTTATATGCAGGATTTTCTGACTTCATGGTGCATGTGCTTAAATTACTTACGCAGCTGAGCCGTTTAAGCTCCAGTACTCTTCAGAATATACCAGAGGAGGTGCGTGAACATGTAAAGCTACTCCTAAATGTAGCTCCAGCAGTCAGACCAGACGCAGATCAAATGACTAAGGTCAGTTCATGCAAAATATAGTAGCCATAGGAAAGAGGGAAAATACTCTTTGATTTATAGCAATGATAGAGCTATTCGAAAGTGTTTTCCTGTTAATTGTTTTAGTTGAAATGTTAAATATTTTTAAACTATTTTGGAAATGATTATGTCAGTTGATGCCAAAAGTTGTCCTTATGCTGACCTTTATCAATATGAAAGAAGTGGGTGCTGAGACAGAATTTAGAATAATCATTCAATGCAACGCTATTTTGTTGCTTTCCAATACAGTTGGAACTATTTTCTCTGCTATGTTTTATACAATTCAGTCTTTAATACTGTATTGGAAGTATTTTAAAGCCATAAAATTATAAAGGGCAATAAACGTAAGGATTAACTTTTGGCTTATGATTTGCAGTGTATTCTTAAATATGCAGAATAGCTTACTTGCCATAATAAAGCAAAAATTAATTGCAAGTAGGATAATTCAAGTTTTAATTTGACAAACTCTTCCTCTGCTTTCCTACCTGAAAGTAGAATTTAAAAAGCATGGTTCTTCCTTTGTCTTATACCCCATTTTCTCATATCTGATAGCCTTTCAGGTTCCTGCTTACAGATTTGCTTAGCTAAACAATATTCTTCTTTTCCTGTCATATAAAAAGATTGTATGCAGAAAGGGAAATCAGTGTCTTAACAGTTGGAAAAAGAGTGAGTGAAGAAGGGAGGGGGAACAGGTCATGATTCTGCCAACATATGCTGAAAGATGGGAAGTGAGGAAATTGGCAATTATTACTCAGATATCAACTCACTTGTCTGAAGGACTACAACAAACAAATCTGTAGACAGTTTTATTAAGCAGTATGGTTTTATAAAGATGTTATGTCTCTCTGTACTGCAGACTGAATTCTAGGGTAGATATATTAGAGCTTTAGTTCGAAAAGCAGTTTGTTATGGCCAACGTGACACAAGCTAAAATGGATCTTGACATGGACAAGTTTACCTTGCTAGTTTTAACTAGTTTATGTTAACCTGTGTAAAATTCCATGATCACATACATTTTGGTGTGTGGTCTAGCAGACAGTATTTAAGTCCACAATGCAGACTAGCTTGAATTCTCTGCTAATAGATTCTTTTCTTCTGTATTGCCCTACCCCAGTCTGCTTTTCTGATTAATTTTTTTATTGGCTTGCTCTTACTTGCTTCTGTTTCTGCCTTACAGCAGAGCTTCTTTAAATGTATTTATATCTTTTGGTTTTGTACAAATTTTTCAACTGAAAACAAGTGTCTAAGTAGTCTGAGACACCATGCTTTGTCTTTAACTGTTGTGAGCCTGTGAAGTTTGATATATCCCTCCATAAAACTGAGAGCTAGCAGGAAGGAGGAGTCTTACCCATGCAAGTTTTGAATACACAACTTTTCATTCCAGTCTGTGTAGGTCTGTAGGGATAGACACTCTTCTATTCTTCTTGTTCATCTGCTAACTGAAAGCTGAATATTTGGGGATGGATTTTTATATAAAATATCTTGTTATCATCATGCATTTTTTATCAATCTTTCATTAATGATGAAACAGCTCTATTAGTATTAATATGATATACCACAGCTATAGATGAAACCCCCTGGTATTTTGCTGGTGCCATCTTGATAAGCCTGGTCTATCTGTATACTTTGTTACACAGTACTTAAGAAGGCCTGTGCCCTCTGCTGAATTAATGCAAAAACATGGGAGATCATGTGAGAAGTTATAGTGGACAGGATTTACAAGCGGGTAGGATTTACAAGTGGGTCTGAACATTGGAGAGAAATTTATATAATTACACATTTATTGCATATAAATGCTTGTTGAGTCATTAGAAGTTTCCAGGGGTGGCAGCCAGATCTGGATGGCCTAGTAGGTAATCCTTTATTGTAATATTAAATAGCATAATTATTCCTAGAAGAACTTTTAATCAAGGTTTTTACTTTTCATTCCATTTTTTGTAGACAAAACTGTATTTCATATACAATAAGTTAACTTAGATACACATAACAGGTGTGGGTTTCTTTAAAATGCTAGGAAGATTCTGTCTTAATAATCAATCTTTATCTGTGAATATTATACTACTTAGTATGTAAAAATGTACTTTTCTAATTGTTAGTTGCAGGCATGTCATTGTAAAGGTTTACTGTAGTGCATTGAAAAGGTAAATAGATGATTGTATTTTGGAATCTTTGTAACAGTGTCAACATTGTCTCCCTCCAGATCACAAGCTTTTAATCTTATTTTTAGATACCATTCTTCGATGATGTAGGAGCAATGACGCTTCAGTATTTTGATTCATTATTTCAAAGGGATAACCTTCAGAAATCACAGTTTTTTAAAGGGCTACCAAAGGTCCTGCCAAAACTACCTAAGGTATGTCTCTGTATGATGTCTTGAAATAGTGAGTTTAAAAATACATGAACCTCTATTAACATTCTGAATCTCGGAATGCTGGACTTTATGTAGCACTGTACCATAATAGACTGCCATGAGACTGTCAGAATATAGTAGGAAAGAAGAGGAGATTAGAAAATAATTGGTGTCGAAATACTCCTCAGCTATCAGTAATTCTTTAAACGGAAAATGGCAAACTGTGCTATCAGTATGTGTAAGGAACCATCATTTGCATGCCCTCTTGTATGTGGTTCATTCCACTTTGAAAGGGAGTTGTCTTCTCTCCACTTACAAGGCTTTCCCTTTGTTTCCAGATGCTATCATAGCTCTTTGAAGTAATCTTGCCACTTTTTCCCCCAATAAGATTGCTTCAGGTTTTTTCATAGCAAGGCAGTACTTTAATGTTGAATGATGCAAGCTTCCTTCCCTCAACAGACTAACTGCTTTCTTGTGCTAGCGGTGCCCAGAAACCTCAAAGGCAAATGTCTGTCATTATGGATTTCTTCTGTGTAGACACTATGTCTAGACTGACTCCTTTTCCTTTTCTGGTATTCTTTAATTTATGTAAGGCACAATGCATATGTGATAGAAAAATAGTATTAGTTTAATACATAATAGAATAGCTGAGCTTCTCAACCATTGCATTAAATTTCTTGAATTCTGTTTTGAACTACACAGTGCAAAATTCAGACTTCATGTTTAACACTCTCTTTTTAATTTAGAAATGTTTTCCTTTCATCAGAAATCATTGATGCTTTGAAGTTGGAAATAGTTGGGATGTATTTCACTTAACTTTAGACAGCCACTGACTGACCTAATCATCTTTAGGGCATTCTTTTTTTTTTTTCCTGCCTTGAAAGTGTATTTTATGAGGGAAGGGACTGTGCCCTTGAACTGTGTATTTCTCTTTATTGACTTTAAACACATTTAAGGTTGTCTAACTCTACAGTAGCCATCCACAGTGTAAATACCTATTTTGTCAGCAGAATCTTATTTAGGGAATGTACTTGGAGTTTTACAGGGAGGGGTAGAAGGATTATATGTTTGTTCAGTGAATGATGGGGTATGGAAAATCTGATTATTTTGGGGGGGGAGATAGAGTCTTTCCTAAGGGTCTTTTTAGAGTCTTTGTTAAGCATATAGAATAAGGTTTTCTTCATGTTTGTGGCTGAAAGTCCGACTTTCTGTACAGTGTGGTGTTTTTTGCTGACCTTCACAGTTGTTACAGTTGCCAGTTGTGCTTTGAGTGCAGAGAAAAGTAAGCAAAGTAGCACAGTGTAAATTAGCTAGAATATACTGTGAAAATAGTAAGAGTTCAAAACTGAAAACTCTCTGTCTGCTTTTTTGTAACTATCAGGTTAATACAAAAGCTGTTGAACTGGCATGATAGTAACTTACTACAATGCAGTACAATGTGATGCATGTTTGGTTTTTTTTTTTCTTTTAGCGTGTTATAATTCAGAGAATTTTGCCTTGCTTGACTTCTGAATTTGTGAATCCTGATATGGTACCCTTTGTCTTGCCTAACGTTCTCCTAATTGCTGAGGAATGCACCAAAGAAGAATATATCAGGCTCATTCTGCCTGATCTTGGTCCTGTTTTTAAGCAGCAAGAACCAATCCAGGTATGTTAATATTGTTCAGATTACATTTTTTCTCTTTGGTGTTTTTTTTTTTTTCCCCCCTGAAAAATGACTAAGTGTTCTGCTTCCCTTTTCCAGCTTCACACAGGTTGCCCAACCTGCTCTGTAGCTGTCGAAGCAGTCAGTCTTGATTCATATGAAATAGATTTTTTTTTTTTTTCCCCCTAGGAAATTCACAAAGCCTCTACCCCTGCTTTTTAGATGATTTTTCTGAGTGTGTATTTGCATTTATAGATGAAATTAGATTAGGAAAAATGGAAACATTTAATTTACCACTCGATTTTTATTTTTGGCTGATTGTAGAAGGTATATTTGTAAGCATTGTATCACTTATCTAGCCAATCTAGGCAGGGTTGTACAGTACAATATTTGCACATATTCTAACACAAGCTGAACCTATGATTTTTTTTTTTTTCTTGTATCCAGATTGCTGACACTGGGATCATGGGGTGGAAAAGTTGTAAATTGGACACTCTATTAAAAGTCCTGTTTATTGATGATAATAAAACAGTGTTTATTTGAGGCCTGTGCACAAATTTGTGAAATTTCTTTCATTTTTATTTTACAAATGTATTGTGTAAGTAAAATATGCTTTGTCCTGTTGTTTACATGCATAAAAGTAGTAAGACATTATCGTTACTGTAAAGGAACAAAACATTTGCATCCTTTTGTCAACACCATGTGCATGATGATTCCTGAGAGTTCTATCACTAAGTTAGGCATTGTGCCTCCACTGATAAAAGGCAGCTATGCGTTCCTTCTAGCTCACCTTGTTTTACTGCTGGATGCTGTTATTTCTCTTCAGAGAACTTAAGGGGCAGGATAAACATAGGAATGAAC